AGCCAATGACAACCTAAGTACGACTTTAAATTAACAAGCAGAATTATGTTCAAACTATAATTTCCTTTGAAGCCATGCAATAAGACCTTAAATTCTTACTTCAAATAATCTATATAAATAAGATCGGTTCCTGTCCTCATCTAAGAGATAAAATACAATCCCATGAAACTACCAACTTCAGTTGCAGTCCATATGTTCAGTATTATTAGAAATGTAATTGAATCTTTTTCTCCTTATATATTAAATTTGCCCTAAAACTCATTGATTGTCTCAGCATTTGCCCATCAAATAAACACCTGTATTAACAGTTATTTCATTATATTGTTGAAGCCCAAAACCTACAAACTAGAATTTCACAGGCTTCCATTCTAACTTCCTTCCAAAGTCACCAAAAAAGCTGTCCGACATCACCACTGGTTAAATTATGCCAATCATTCATTATTTAGATAGCAAGGTACAACAATAATTCTTTCAACAAACAGCAGCAAGAGAGAGGAAGATAAAATGTTTTTCAGGTGCTTAGATATATTTTTCAACAACCAATAACTATAACTATCTATGCTAATTGCTTATCCAACCAAGTTTAACTCCTCCCAAGTCCATTATAGACTCCACTTCATCCATAGATGCCCAGCTAGGCATGTGATGTGGCATTCATTAAGATGGACTGGACTCTCCAGTGCAATAAAGAGGATCAAATCTGTCTAACCCAATTAACCAAATACAGCTTTAATTCTGCCATACAAGCCAGCCAGCTCAAGCTGGAAAACAAGAAAATCAAGAGTTTGAAAGTTTTTACAGATAAGCTAAACCAATATACCCTACATATCACTCAAATATAGGCCATTCTATTACCAATCTCCAAGCACCACCATATGCTGAACATAGTAACAGAAAAAAAGGCCTATGAATATCTTTCATTATTTTATCCTCAATTCTCTTAAACCTGACCCTATAATTGACTATTATAGCATATACCTTCCAAAACCTGACTATAATTTATAGGTTAGTGTGACAGCATTAAAACAATGCAAGTTTTGGTGTTATTCGTCGCCATTTCCACTGGAGTAAAAAGAAACACTTTGTAAAACCCTATTTTCTACATTCAAAAAGGGTATAAATTTGGTAACATCCATCCCCCAGCATAATGATGAATATGTTCTCATCCCATGTGCAGTGCTATGCAGTTCATGGTACTAAATAACTCCATCTTCAAATGGTTAGAATAGTTTCCTTTTGTCACTAGAAGGTCCAGGGCTGCTTAAATTTGAATACAATATTTTACTCTAGAGCCAACCATCCTTTAAAACCCAGAGAAAAGGATGGAGAGGAATCTACAATATGTTACACGGACTCTTCACTTTAAAATACCAGTGTCTAACACTTATTGGACACTTCACAAATCATACGGGTATGACACTTTGATCCTCAAAATTAAAGTAAAAAATTGTCAAAAATGTAACCTACCCGTGTCAACACCCTATCCCAAAACCATGTAACATAGATCTACATGCTTCAAGTCCTACGATTAAATAAAGCAGTTTATTCACATTCTCCTTTCTTCCTCGTTATCTTTTACTTGGGCCAAAGAATGGATAGAATAACATATGCATTCAGAAAACTACTAATGTGAATGTGTAGAAAATAAAAATCATAAAGTTAAAATCAAAACAAAATAAGGTGAGAATTAAAACAAATTTAATGACCTTATTCCCTGCATGACCACTTGCAACACCAAAGTCAGGTTCAAAATCTGCATCATCAGGGTCATCTTCTGCAAATAAGACAGCAAAATCTTAGCATCTCAAAATTAAGAGTACTTAAAAACTGTAGTATAGTTAAAAGAATAGAAACATATATCATCCATCAAATTCAAGGCACTCATTTAGTCAACCTAAGTGACCTAATGTGAAACGCTGTAATAAGATATAAGGAAGAAAAATGAAAATAAGACAGGAAGATATAAATTACCATCTTCCTCTTCCTCCTCTTCATAATCTGCATCCGCGTCATCATTGTTGTTGTCATCATCCTCATCATAATAGTTATGGTTATTTAAAGCTCTTGAACTCCTGGACGTAGTAGTACTGACAGAAATAGGCATTGATTGTGGCCTAGTATTTAACCCAACAGAATTGCTAAAGCCTCCGTAATGCAGAGTATCACTTTGCTCTTCCCCATCCTGCTCATAGTATTCATCAGATAACATCTCATCTGCAGGGACATCAGATTGACCCCTTTGAGCCTTGCCCACTTCTTTATGGGCCTCATCATCTTCCGATTCTAACCTACCATCCCTGTCATCTGATGAATTATATTCTGAACCATCCAAATTCTTCTGGTCAGATTTTGAATCCTGCCCAGAATCAGATCCAATCTGGTGGTCCATGGGCTGGCAATCCTTCCAATAAGTTGAACCCCATTTCCCAGGAGGTATTCTTCTTCCTGCTGTCTGAAAATTCAAATTTGAAACACCAGCACCATTATTAGCAGCCACATCATTATGCAGCCTCACAGAATCATCTGGCTCTCCATCACTTTGATACTGTCCACCCATGTTACCATCAAATTCTCGTTCGCTATAAGTCCCATCCACGTCCTCATTCCCTGCAGAGCTGTGAATCCTACCAATGCTTTGTCCCTGGATTTTCTCTTCCAAGACACCATGTGAGACTGTGTCATCCGAATGGTTACCAAAAAATGCCATCCTCTCACATGGAAATCCTATGCAAATAACTCCCTTCTTTAACAACTATGCAAAAATATTAAGGGAAACAAATCAGCTTCCCAATCTCAGCTGAGAACCTGAATAATCAATCAGCCAAAACCTTTAGACCTTCTGAGATAAACACAGCACACACAACTGACACAGAAGAATACAAAGGGAAGAAAAAAAAAAGTATGGGTCACAAAGAGCCTCAAGGCCAAAGAATATAATCTTAATTAAAGAATACAATTTACTAAAAAAAAACACAACCACCACCTATCTGAATAATAAAAAATTTAATATCCAACGTTAAAACTCTTTCAGTTTTGGTGCATTTGTTGAGCAAACATAGCTAAATGCAAATTCAGTCATTATTGAAGTTGCAAGGAGTGAAAGACCATACGAAAACTTAAAAATACATAAAACTGCAAATTCGACATAACAATTACTTCGTTAAATCAAATACAACTCCACAGAACTACGAAACACGAAAATGGGAACAAGAAAGTGTTGTCAAGCTTAAAACCAAAAAGAAATTCAAACTCACACACTTATCAAGTGAATTTGAGCATAAAAACGATCAAAATTATAACCAAATCAATCCAAACAATCGAGATAACACTAATGCAAAAATTAGAAGAAAAACGTGAATCGAACAAAGCAAACAATAGATCCGTTAACCCAAACACAAAACCGAAAAAAATCGAACACTAGAAACTCCGATTAAAAAACCCTAAAATTAATAATATAAAGCAACAATTCACAATCCAAAACCCTAAATTCATAGCGTCGTGGACAAAATTGAGTAAAAAAAAATCGACCGCCAAAAAAGCCAATTATTGTTCAAAAAAAGGGCCTGACCTTTATGAAAATAAATGAGAGTTTTTTGCGTAATAAGGAGAAGAAATTTGTTAGGTATAAATGGATGATGCGCAGGTTAATAATCATGCGCACCTTTTAAATCGCCAGGAAAACGAAACACAACCGGCCGCCAAATTTTTGAAAACAATGAGACCGTTTTCACTCGGGTCTCTCTCGGGTCTACAGGTTTCAGGGTGGTTCGGGTCTTTTTAATCGGCGGCGGTGGGAGGTGAGAGGTCCCGATTCCAAATGAGGAAGACGATGCGTTTTTTTGGATTAATCGTCCGATTGGAAAAAAAGAAAAAAAAAGTGAGAGAGAAAGTTTTTTCTAGACAGAGAAAGATAATCAAAGGAAAAAATAAAGTTTTTAGATGCGATATAAGAGGGGTTAATTTCCTATGGAGAAACTTGTTTATATAAAAACACTATATCTCGTCAACTGGATTAACTCGTATGGCATATTTGTTGGTTTTTTTTTTATGTTTTATATTTATAATAATTTTTTAGATTTTTAGATAAATTAAATAAATAGAGATTTAGACAAGTATATTGCTCGATTATGAGTTTGAAATTTTTAGTTAGATTGACTAATTTTGAATATCACAAATTAAAATTTGATTTTGAAAAAATATATATATGTTGTGTTTACGTATATAAACATGAATTATAAAATAATAATTTTTTATTTTATATATTTGACATGAATAGATATAATAAAAATTTATAAATTATTAAATTTAATTTAAATTTATAATATTTTGTAAATGAATTAAGTTAATAAAGTTTCAAAAAATTAAAAATAAATTAAAAAACACACTCTATTTATTTTAAAATTTCAAATAAAATTAAATGAAATTACAAATATAAGTTACAAATATAATTAAGTTTTATATAAATTACTGAATAATTAAATTAATTACTTAATTAATTAAAAAAATAATTAAATAAATTTGATCTAAAATTAAATCAAAATGACTTGAACCTACTCAGAATTTTCCTAATTTCTTTAGTACCAGAGTTAGCAAATATTTTACTTTTTGTTTAATTCCCTAATTTCGTTTCTTATTTGTCCCCAGCGAATACGATGAGGCCACGTGGCGATGGATGTGTTGGGGATTTTGGATGTTTAATCGTACGTGCACGCGGACATGGTGGAGGGTTGAAAAGAAATTCATGAAGGGCCTCTCCATTCAAGTGCAGTAGTGGAGGAGGATAAACTATGCAAGTGACCAAAAGGCCCTTGTAGTGAAAGGTTTGGCAATTGTTTTTTTTTTCGGTTGATGTGATAGGGAGATTGCAGAAGCCGGTGGTGGGCGAATCGAAATCTTGAGCGTCGGGGACTGGCAGAGCCTAATAGGGTAAAAAAAGGATGTTTCATTTTTAACTATCTAGAATTAGAAAGAATATGTAGTTGAGAAATTCTATAAAATATTTTTAATATCTTATTTTCATTTATTACATCTCATACTTAAATATGGTTATTATTTACACTTCAAGAGAGTTTTTAAATACATTACATAAATTTCTTTATATATTTTATCAATTTTTTTCAAAAATATTCATATAACAAATATCAAATTTATCTTTTAATAAATTATAATTTTACTCTCTTTTTTTTTCTTTTCCTTTTTCTTTCTTTTTCTTCTTCCTCTTTCATCCTTCTTTCTCTTATACTCAATCAATTCTAATTTTTTTATATTTTTAAAAATCTATTTTTGAGAATACAACATAATTTTTAAAAATCTATGAAAATGAATTTTTAAAATTTATATTTTATTTTTGAAAATGACGTTTTTTAAAAATAAATTTTCGAGAACCTTAAAAGCTTCTCATAAATAAATTTCTAAGAGTCTTAACGATTTCTTGGAAATCTATTTTTGAGAAGTTCAAATTCTACAAAATCTATTTCGTAAACTCTAACATATTTTCACATGCATTTTAAATCAAAACAAATGAAATAAATCTCAAAATCTTACTTTTAATCAATGGAAGACTTTAAAAAATGTAATTTTGAGGCTAATTTGATGGATTCAGGGTTAATTTGGGCTTGAAATTAAAGAAAGAATAAGAAAGAAAAAAGAAAAATATTGGGGTATAAAAGAAAAATCAATTGTTAAGGGATGGGGTGTATGTAGTAAAAATAAAAAATTTAATTTTGAATTTAGGATGTATTTAGTAATGGGGTATATAGAGTAAAAATGGGGTGTAAATAAAATTTTCCTTTATAAGAGTGAGCAAAAATTAGTTCAAACCTATTTAACCGATTAAAACCAATGAAATATGGTCAATTCAGTTCAATCTAGTCAATTTTCGGCTATAGTCAATTTTGGGATTGGTTAAATTATGTTAATCTTGAATTGATTTTTATTTTAAAATGATAAAACAATAAGCTAAATAAGCTTGATTAAAATTTTGAAAAATATTTATTTAGTACAAGTTTTTAAGTTTTATTATTTTTGGCATTAAATAAATAATATGATTTTCAAAGTTTAAACAAACATTTCTTTATGTTTTCTTATTTCTCAAATCAAAACTATCTTTAAACATTATTTATTTGAGCTTAAATAAAGTTGAATTGTTATTTTTAAAGTGAACTTATTCATTTTGGACTTAATAGAATTTTGATAATATTGGTTTTGAGAAATAGATTAACTTAAGAAAATTGTTTTACTAGAACAAAATTTTTCAACATTGAGCTTGTTTTATTTTTCTATATTAATTCACAAAGCTTTAATATTTAAATTTTATACTGTTGGAAAGCTTTTTAAGTCTACGTTTTAATTGATCAAATAAAATCTAAATCTAAATTTTCTAAGAAAAGATTTTGAATTTTTACTAAACATTTTACAGTTATCTAAAAATTGCACAAATGATAGTTTTGAAAATTCACTATAATTCATGTACAATGAATTAGGTGATGCTTTAAGTCTAGTTTCTAAATCTTCAAACAATTTTTAATTTGGATTTGTATAACTCAAGATATAATCAAATTAGTGAGTAGAGTACAAAACAAAAAAAACTACCCAATTGGATAGGATTGATCCCCTTAAAAAGGGATTGATTGATTTTTTACCCAGAACAAATTTTTTGCTCTAGGATTGAAAAAAAGATTGATCACCCCCTTGACAAAATCTATCATTTACATAAAGGGATCGATCGAGTTGTATATTTTTAAGGTGTAAAAAGCATCCAAAACATGAACCAATCGATCTCTTTAAAGAAAGGATCGATCAAGTATGCTCATAAACTTCTCCAACGGCTAGTTTATCAAGCTTCAACGGCTATTTTCTTGTTTCAAACCATCCCCAATGCTAGTTCTTCAATTTCTTTATATCTTGGGTATTCCAACGCACCAAAAAAATGATGAATCAAGAGAGTAAGAACCAATAAGCTATATTTTCATTCTCTCAAAGAATCAAGAATTGTTAGAGCTTAAAAATCTATATCTTTGTATTTATTGTATCCAAATCATATTTGTTGTTCATTCATGATTTTCTTGTACTTAAACTTGATAAACACTTAGCCTTTGAGAAGTGTTTTAAGTTTGTATTTCTTTTAAGTATTTTTGTAATCAAGAGGTGATGTATCCTCTTAAATTTTTGAGATTAAAAAGTTGCTACTTAGCCTAAAAAGTCAACAGTATTAGGTTGCTACCTAAGCCTTAAGAAAAAAATATAGTTGTTATTTCAATTCAAGAATAATGGATTGAAATTTTGGTGTGGACAACTAAAAAAATAGGACATTAGTGCCTTGTGGAGAATGACCGAATCTCTATAAATCATTATGTTTGATTGCTCTATCCCTATTTTTTTATTTTGCATTTGTTTAAAAATTATCAATTTATTGTTATTTGCATCATATTTTGATATTGGTCTTAATTTTCAATTCAATTATATTTTGAAATCATTATTTGAGAAGAACTTGGAGAAATCCAATTCACCCTCTCTTGGATCACCATCTCACCTAAACAACTAACAAATTGGTTAATCGATCGATTATAAGTTCTTAAAACCGATAACCAAACAGATAGAATTAACCGATTGTATAATAACTAAGGGTAAATATGTTTATTCCCACATAAAATAACCCTAAACTTAACTCACTACTTTTAATCCCTACTGAAACCCACCCATGCCTAATGCTCGTGCCCTTTTTTTTGCTCGACTGTTTCTCTACCTCTCTCTATCTATGCTTAACTGCTTCTCTATCTCTCTCACATCTTTGCCTTTTCTGCCTTTAGGAACTCCTAAGTTTGACTAAGGGTCCCTAAAAAATATATGTTCGGGTCTACTAACTAGAAAAATGTTCGAAAGTTCGGTTACATGTGGGGAAGGTTATAGCACCCCACATGCCTATCCAAATGATGGTACCATATTTATCTTAAGGTTCTGATTTTAATGATTTTAAAATTTATTGTTCAAACATTGAAAATAACTTTTAAGATTCTTCCATCAATCTAGTAGAATTCTTAAAAATATTATTTCACCTCAAGAGTATTCAAGAATCTCATTTGTTTTCTTGAAGAGGCTCCGTCGTTAGCAAAAAGTTTAATTATTTTTTATTGGTTTGGTTTTTTTATTGAAAATATATCTAATTATTCCATCATTTGAGACAAATTAGAAATATTTTCTCTTTTAAATTTTTAAATTCTTCACCATTTTGGCTTATTTAGAAATCTCTTTTATTTTTCCTTTTTTTTGGAAAGAAAATAATATGACAATTATTTTTTTTTTAATTTCATTTAAATTCTTCCACCATTTGGGACAAATTTAAAGAAATTTTTCACCAAGAGATCTCTTAGAAAATTTATCATTTGAAATTTCTAAAAATCTCATCATTAGATATTTATCAAATATTTTCAACAAAAATTTTTTTTATTTTTTATTTAAAAATAAATATTAATTATTGTTATTGAAATTTTATCTAAATTATTTCACCATTTGGGACAAAATTGCTCACTTAGGAATTTTATAGAAATTTATCATTTTAAACTTCTAAAAAATTTCATCATTGGATAATTAATACTTATTCTAAAAAAATATTTTAATTTTTAATTTTTTTCTCCCTTTTTTTAACTTAATCATATA